ACACACACACACACACACACACACACACGTAGGAAAAGAAAGTCGTTCGTGACAGAATACCGTATCGATATCGAGTTCTTTTGCAGCCCGATCGCGAACTGTTCGAATTTCCATAATTGCCATATTTCAAACGAAGCTTCCGTCTCTAAATGTATTGCGTTGAATAAACTTACGCAACCGATAAATTTTCGGATTGCTGTAGTTTCAAGGAATGCTCCAGTTCTCTTACGTGATTGAGTTGATATAATTTTTGAAACTTTACAAGACACGAGTTACAAGCCATCAGTTGTGTTAATAAATTTATACAATAATGATAAATTGTATAATAATAGAAATTGCTTGATTACATATTACTATTAAATAAAAACTTATCTAAAAGTCTATGCATAATTTGCATTCAATCAATTCAACGATATAGCAGAGGCTGAACAAGATAAGAAACTTATACCGATGACTCACCTTCGGCTTCTCCCGTTTCTTTTTGATGATGAGTCCGTCGTTCTCGATATAATCAGGCACGTCCTTCCGGTTACTGAAATTAAACACCATGGTGTTGTTTTGCTGGTTCCAGGGCTTCGTCTCCCATAATCCGGCGCCACCCGTGCCAGACTTTTTCGCTGGTTGTATTTCGTCGGCGCTCTTCAAGCTAACTACCACTTTGGTTGGTTGCTCTATGCTTTTCACCCGATTGATCAGATTCTTCTCCAATTCCCGATTGCTCAGATTCTGTTGAGGATGCTGCGTCTTGGTGGAGACAAGCGGTCTTATTATGCCGATTTGTTTTTGGGGCGGAGACTCGGTTTTTTGGCATTTTATCGTTTTCAACTCGTTCGCCTGCGGATACGAAGTATTCGTGGAAGGTTTGATCAGACCCAGACTGCAAATAGCACCGATCGGCTTGGTCTCAATGTTCGTTTTCACGTCCGTGTCCTCTTTATTGGCCTCGATCTTCCTGTCGTACTTGTCCGGCTCTAACCTCTCTTGTAGCCTAGAGACTGCCTCGTGATCCGTTACGGCGTTCGTGGAACCTGCGGACAAAAACGATTTGCCCCGAGGAGGTTCTAACGGCGACGACGACTTCGTTTCGGTTCGAGTATCCGTCTGGTGCTCGTCCGCTGGTTTCTGGCCGTTCTGCTTGAATCCTGGCAAGTAACTCTTGTTGCAGATGGATTTGTCGCTAAAGCTAAACTGCATCGTGACGCCAGTTCTCGCGATGTTCTCCAAAGCAGTTTTGGAGATGGTCTTTGGGCCATCGACCTCTTCCGTCAGTTCGTCGTCGCTGTGATCCGCGTTATCGACGTTAGGCGACGATTTGTTCTCCTCGGGTTTCTCTCGTTCCGTGGGACTGTGTCGTATCCTCTCCGTAGGCTGTTGCTGTCGCGGATGTTGTTCCGTATTGACGACATTCGTGCTCTCTTCAACTTGAGGTCGCGACAACTTGCCAGTTTCAGGAACGGACGTTTGTCGATGCAGTTCTCTGCTGTTGGGACTCGGTGGAGGCTTGTGGACGGGGCTGGAATTCTGTCTGGCGAGATCCTTCATCGGGGATGGAGGGCTGTGAACACGCGGCGAACTCTGCCTGAGTGTGTCCTTCATTGGGGACGACGGGCTGTGCAACCTGGGCGAGGAAATCCTGGGGGAAAGGACAGGCGTTACGGGTGGCGACTTGACGCTGATCTCTAGAGTGGATTTTAATTTACTTGATTGAGGCTCGGGACTGGGCGCAGGCGAGAATTTCAATTTGAAGGATGGCTCAGGGGACGGGGACGGGGAATGCGACTTCTCGATCTGCTGGAACTTGCTGACCACCGACGACACCGACTGCACTATGGGATCTGTTAATACCCCGTCCATGTGATACTCTTCTCGGCCGTCTTGGGTCTCGATCAACTCGGCCGTTGGCTTCTGCGGCAACACGATCTTCTTCGGCGACGCTGGTGGCCTGGAATTCCCATTGACGAACGGCTTAGGTTGAATCGGTGGTTTCGGACCTATCTTCTTTTGCGTCTGGGCTTTATACGTGTCGTTGATGGTCTTGAACGTGGCTACTTTCGCGGCCACCTCGCCCTTTGGTTTCAGCTTCTTCGCCGACCCCTCGAAGATTCTCATCGTCGTCTTGACTAGATCCGGCGGCGGCCTTTCCGTTTCCGCCAGCAACGGTTTGATTCTTTTCGGCTTGTTCACGGCTTTCGGCCTGTCCAACTCGCCCAGCCGACTTTCTATTTTCACCGAGCTCCGATCGATCAGGATAATGTGATCGTTGACCGGCTCTTGTTTCAAACCGTTGGTCGCCGCCATGTGACCGGATATACCATGAGTACTGCCGACTTCGTCCGTGCCATTGTACCTCATCAAAGTCTCGACGCTTCGCGCCCGTTTCATGGACTCGTTGCCGCGGCAAGCATTCCTGTACCTGTCGGTTTTCGTTGCGACGCCGATGCTCGTCCTCTTTGCGTACTTCCTCGCGTTTTTCTCTCCCGACTCGTCGTCGCAATCCAACAGATCTTCCAAACTGGCCGCGCGTCTGAAACGTTGCACCGAGACGCGGCTCTTGTTCATCTCTTTCAGCGTGAGATTGAGATATTTGCTCTTAAGTTTATTCACGATCCCCGGCCCGTACTGCAGCTCCTCCGAGCTGTCGCTTTCCCCGTCGTCGCTGCATGCTGTCCGATTCCTAACTATTTCCATCTCGATTTGGCCAGCTTTCATTTTCGACAAGTCCGCCAGCATGTCCCTCTCGACTTTGTTGGTGCGGGAGGTGCGGCGATGATCGTCGCAAATCGCCAACAGGTCACTGGCCTTCCCGTCTTGCTTCGCATCCTCCATCTCTGTGCCGTCGCCGCGTTCCGATTTTCGTTCCGTGTCGGCCGATGACTTGGTCACAGTGTCGTTCGCAACATCCTCCGAGTCGGAGCAGAACAACAGATCCACCTCGAGACGCATGTTGCACGCGACTGCCGGGGCTACGTCGGTCGCGGCAGCCGTCCCGCTGCTGACGATGGCGCCACACATCGGCCCTCTCGAGAAAAACGGCGAAGAAGACAGAACGACACCAGCTATGGCGCTTCCACCGATGCCACCACCGAGCATACCATTCGAGTTATTCACCACGTTTCCACTGTCCTCTCCGTTGCTCGTTGTCCGCGATCTCGACGACGCATTGCCGGTTACGCAGTGCTCTTGACCGCCGGTCGAATCGACCACTGACTCTGTCGGCCCGCCCGTTGCCGCCGTCGTCACCGTTGACGTTGTCGACGAACCAATCACCGCCGAACATAACTTCACACTGGCTCCATTGCTCGCGAGAACTTTGCTCTGTTGCCTACGACGCTGAATCAAGTCTCTTTTCCACTGTGGCACGTTACTGCCGTTCGTTTCGCCGGCGGTCGTCGTCGTGTTGCTGGTGGTAGCCATGTTGGACGCGCGATGGGCGCGTTCACAAACGCGCGCCCGAGTGTACGCGACAGCACGCTTGGCCCACCGGCCCACAGTCTTCGATTCTTCTGCTGTCAAAAACTGTATAACTGTCGCCGTTTCACACGCGACGCCCGGTGTTCATCGTGCACGTACCAGCTTTCCCGACAACCGGAACCACCAGCAGCTGCGTGCACGACCGTTGGAAAATCGATGCCTTCGACACATATGCACGCACGAGGTTGACAGAGAAGACGTTTCGCCCCTCCAGCGATAATTCACATCATTCTTTCGTGGCTCTCGTCTAGAAGATAATATCTCGATTGAATACTCGTCGTCACCGACGACGTGTTATAAATAATTGACAGAGAAAGCTGACACTTTTTCCCCAGCGGCTCACACTCGATTCAGTTTCGACGTCCGAGTCGAGTTTTAGGCAAAGAGCAATGGGGAAAGAGTTGAAGCATCTGCCGCGAAAAACGCGCAGGCATGCAGAGAATCGAAAGTACTGAACAGCAACAACTCGACATACCGTGCACGACGTACCATTTCACTCGATGGTAACTATCGTGTCCGCTTCCCTGTGTAATCGTTCGTGGCCGGCGGAGGTCCGCTAATCGCTGGAAATCGAAAGTATCTGCCCGTGAGGACGCACTCGCGCACGCATTCACGCACCCATGTGAAAACACTGAGGAAAGGCGAGCACGGCGAGTCCTCGCTCGTTCGCACGCACTCTACTTGCCCCTCTATAGAGATATATCGCCTCTCTCTCTCCCTCTTCTCGTCTTCTATGCACCAGCCCCCTCTCGTATCGCGACAGAGCTCATCTGAATCTCTCTCTCCTCTCCTTCACCCTTCTTCCTTTGCCACTGCTTGCTCCACCACCCTGACGTTACACTTTCGATCGAGCAAATGCCGCTGCTATCGAATATCGCGCACAGACATCGAAATCGTGCTTCGGATTACGAGGGCGTATC